AACGAGGGGTTAAGTGTCACAGCCCCGAACGCTCGCTTTACTTTTAGTCTGAAAGCACCTTTACAGTTGAAATGTGTGTGACAGGCTTCGTCACGCCTATGATTCCCCTACATTTAACTTAATTTTGATGTCAACATTATCCACATCAAACCATGATGGTGTATCAGCTGGGGGCGTCATGTCCGACCCTTCAAACGCCCATAGTTGCCTATAAATGGTCAGTGAAACGCCCCTCATTAATATTAATCCATCCTGACTGCAGGAAGAAAAGGAGGCAAACTCTGACAGAGAAGCTACAAAACGATATTTAACTCAGCGTGACACCGACGTTCCTTTTGGTGAAGCTGAAGCGGTTTGGTGGGTAACACTTTCACGCAACGACTGTGCACCTGTGCAGGAAAGGGGGACCCCCGGAGCTCCGCCCCTTTATAACCGATCTGCAGGAAGCGGCATCCCTCACTGGCTTGGGGGGGCCACACAGACGGGACGACCCAGGTACTAATTTGGATTCCCCCGTTTGAAAAGAGAGGAAACCAAATGACTTCCACTTGCGTTTAAACATTTACACAAACAGTCCGCTCACTGAACGAGGCCGCTGATGAGTTAAAGAAACATCCACACGCTTGTGTTGAACAGTGGTGGGGACAGAGACACGGCTCAGAGCCTACAGGACGTGACAAATCCAGAATATTGGGGTCATGAGAACAAGACTAGAAGATATTTTAGTGCTATTCAAAGAAATATTCATGGATGAAAATTAAGGGGTCACCAATCATAATCGGCCGATAATGGCTTTAACTAGTTTGAACGGTGGTCGCTAAAAAGGCCGATAAGAAAAGCCGATCAGATGATGCAATATATACTCGCCAGACAATTTTTAAAAAATGGTTTCACTACGTGGTCTGAGCGGTTTTCAAAGCTAGCTAGCACCAAAGTCCTTTTCAGACAGGAAGCACTGATGCTCCCAGTTAATTATTTCCAATGAGAGTTGAGCAGCAACAAGCGGGAGCGATCACGTGAAACTGTCGCAGCTGTGCTCATCTCACTCACACGCCGCCGGCTACCAGAGTTTAGATGTCTTGACACTCAGAGAGACTGATCCTTCAGTCTGAATTTCCTGATGCAAAGAGCGGCGCCGCTCAATCCGCTGACTCTTTTCTAATTTTTCGTTACAAAACAGAGACCTTTTGCTACGTTTTCGCCTCCCATCCAGATTAAAACGGTGAATCAGAAGATGTTTGTTTGCTGACTTTATAAAACGCCTGTTTTACTTTCTTCTTTCGCCAAATCGTCTGCAACTGCGGAGTAGACCATCTGCTTCATGTTTACATCGGTTAACAGGAGAATATGGAATTAACATTGTACTATTATTTATTTAAATGTCCCTTATTCTCAAATCTCATTGATGACCGTTATGACTCCCCCCCCCCCCTAAAGCCCACAGAACCTGCCTGAGCTTTCCAGAACAAAAGCTACTTCAGAGTTTATCATGGACTCAGGATGTCTGTGCTCTTTTATCTCCTAAATATTTTGGCTGCAGCCTTTTTTGTTGCAGTTTGATTGAGGTTGAAGTAAATTTATAAAGATGCCGTTCGTTCTGTTTTTGTAGTTTAGTCCACAGGAAAGCTCATAGCACTGCATTAACATTTCTTGTTGCTATTTTTCAGAACATTTTTAACAAATGCTTTCAAAAAGTGCTGGGGCCATTATGTCCCTGGCGTCTCCAGTGTAAATGACACCTGTGCAGGTGGGGAGAATAAACTGATTTTCTAATGTTTAGTTACTCACCATCTAACTCAGCCAGTCAGGAGCTGCATTGAGCCGTAGATGTTACGTGAATCTGGTCCCTGGAGCACAGGTTTCATCAGCTCTAATTTTCAATGCACATTTAAGAGTGCAAGCTGCACATCTTCACTGTTTACCCTATGCATTCAGGAGCACTACTAAAATGACAGATGCTGTTATAAGAGCAGCGTAACTCTGAATCAGGAGGTGCGCAGCGAGTGTGTGACTGTCCGAGCGGCAGGAAGTGACGCTGAACGCGAGCGGAGGAAAATATTCTGCCAGTAAATGTCCGGTGTCTGTTACAGCGTGTCGGCTTCTCAAGACCAAGAAAAGTCTGTTGTTTCCCACCTGCTGGAAAAGTGAAGCCGGTTAGCGCTAAGTTAGCCAACATCTCCCCTTCAGACTGAGCAGCTTCTACAGCAGCTACAGAGCTGCTCTGTAACTTAACTTTAGCTGGAAGCTGGATTTTATTACTGCCTACTTGTCCAATGTTGAGAACATCAGGTACAAACTGAGAGTAAACTGGTGCAGCCTGCAGCTCCGTCCTGTACAGACTGCTTCAATTCTTTTTCAGTTTTCAGTTGGAAAAGAAAGGACGGAGGTGACTGGAGGAGCTGAGGTCAGTAAAGCTAATTAGTGATGCAAACTCGTCCTTTTAAGCTGATGAGGAGACGTTTCTGTTTGGATGTTAATGTGCAAATAAAATGCACCTCAGAAGGAAGGAGGTTTCTCACGCTGCCTATTTTTATATTAATGTCTACAGATAAATGTCAGAAGCTGTAAAATGAAGACACAAACATGAACAGTCGTATCTAGAATGATTCTGATCACATTAACAGGGTTTTAGGGGTGATGCCCAAAACATGCTGTGCCCTCACTGTAAAATCACTGTGGAGCAACAGAACCAACCAAATGACTTTCTCCAGATCTAAAGCTTGTAGTTCCTCCAGCAGGCTGATCTTTGGCTGTTGGTTATTTATTATCTTTTCCAACTATTTGTTCAGAGATATGGTGAAAATAACGGCCCAATATGATGTGAAATTACATATTTTTCATTGGAAAACATAAATCGTACACTTTTTGCGGTTATGTATGGTTACGTTTTGGAATGTTTGCTAAAAGACTGCAATTTGAGAAATACAAATACACAGCGTATGACGTCTAAGCTTCAAGAAACGACACAGGATTGCCACAGAACTTTATCCCTTTCAACTACCGAAGTAAGTCAGCATGCCAGCAAGATGTCCACCCAAAAATCTCTCTCCATAACAGAAGGCATGGATGTTGACCTCAGAGGAATGGAGAAGAATTGATGATACTCATTCCTATGTAACTAATGTTAACGAAGAAAACCCGACATTAATTCAAGTCCAAGGAAACAACATCAACATCCTCTGTGGAAAAATTAATGAGAGAGCAGACCAGCTCGAGAATATGGTCAAGAAAAACTCTGCAGAGATCGTGAGTATGTCTGAGGCTCTTAACTCAATCCACGAAGATGTCATGAAGCATGAAAAAGAAAGCAACAAGTTAAGGACAGAAAATGCAGAACTAAAACAAAAGACGGCGGGTCTGAAAGAAAGAATTAACGAACAAGAACAATACAGACGACGGTTTAGTCAACTTTAAGATTTTGCATCGTATTTACCCGCCAAAGAAGTGTTGCAAAGATTTAAACTTAACATTGATTATAACTGTGATTTTTGCAGTTTAGAAAGAGAAACTATATTTCATCCTTTTTACCACCGTGAACATACAAATGTATTTTGGAAAGATTTGGAACATTTTATTAACAGAAAGTATACTGATTATTGTATTTAATGGCATGTTATATTTTGTACTATATGGTCCAGAAAATATTAAACTATACTGTGCAACTCCAAATTCCATATCCACAAATAAAAATGGACTGGATCCAAACCCTGCTACCTCAATATAACTCTTAAAAAATAAAAACCAATAAAGTGTCTTAATATTATAGAAGAACTGAGTTAATTTGAGCTTCTGGCAATGTAAAATGTAACTGATTGTCTGTATATTTAGCATTTTTGTTACTGTATTGGACTTTGTATTAATGAAGTAAAAAAAAAAAAAAGGAGCCAGGCAGAGCGGGCGATCGAAAATCTGCAGGCCGGCTGAGAGCTGCTAACCTTGGGCTAGAGGAGCAGGGAGCAGCGGTCCAGCGTTTGGACGAATAAACACCTGTAGGATTCTGGATTCTGTTCTGACAGCTACGCCGTTTGCTCGCGGGAGGAGCTCGGAGTTAACTGCTTTTATTAAATTAGCTTTTTTTACTTTAGTTTTTGGGATTACAACGTTGATTTATCTTCACTCGAGCTTCTCAGCAGCTAGTTTCCGTGCACATCCGGTTCCAGTGTTGTTAGCGTCGTTTGGCACTACTTCATATTTACATAAAAACCGGACCAAACTGGACATTGCTGGGAGAAAAGAAAGCGAGGAGGTTGAACTACTTGGTGAGTTCAGAAAACATGTGTCTGTAACTTTATTCCAGCTGTCGTTGTACTTTACAGTGACCAAGTTAGCATAGCACAGCCCTGATCGAACCAAACTCCATTCAGAAAACAAACATTTTAGAAGTTGATGTCCTGCTGTCCTGCTGACAGACCTGACAAAGCTTGAATTCATATGTTTAACAAATCTGCATCATGTTGTCGTTATTTCGGCATCAGTTTGATCCGTTTATTGCTATTTAATCACAGCAAACTGTTTGAGTTCATACAGCTGTAGTAATGGTGAGTTGGGTAAATATTCGGGTTATTGCGTTGTGTGATGCGATGTCCAGCGATAAAAAACCCCGCAAGGAAAGCGTTGCGTGGATTAAATTCGCGTTTGGTCTGAATATGGCACAGCCCCACCTATAATATTTGTCACCAGCCGCCACTGGAGTCAGCGATGATTTGCAGCCTCCACTTATTGAACGAATGGTTCTTTAAAGTCATTTCTACCAGTTAAAATGACCGGGTGAGACCTAATCTGTTGAACACAACGCCCATGAATCAAATCACGTCAATTCTCATTTCAACTGTCACGCGCAAAAACGAAAGAAACAGCTTTAACATGCAGCGCGCGCTCCCGCGGACGGCGATCAGTTTTCGTGGGACGCTCAACTTTCAGCGCGACACCGGAGCTGAACGCGGCCATTCTAGCTCGGTCCTACACCGGGTCCGGTTCAGTCCAGAATCCCGTGAACTCACCCCGGTGCTGACCTCCTGGCTGCTCCGGTCCGGGTCCAGCTCGCTTTTAACAGACACTTTCTGTCCGGAGCTGCTCGACGCTGCTGCCGCCGCCATCTTGTCCACCACGAGTTTACTAGATGTGCGTTACTGCCACCTGCTGGACCGGAGCGTTGAAGGGGAGATTCTGCAGAAAACAAAACCAGGTTCTTGTAGAAAACAAAATAATGACCCAGTTAATCTCTCTGCTGTTTCACCAAGAGACAACGAAGGCAGGAAGCTCTGAGAAGCCCCCCCCCCCCCGACATGTGAACCAGACTCCATTTGAAAAAACAGCCATTTAACCCCAAATTAAAAACTTTATATCTAAAACACCTGATAGAAATCCCAGTCGAGGCTTTTCCAATTCAAGTAAAAATGCTTGTCAATTCGGCACACACCTGAAACACCCAGTGCTTACTGATTAGTATTAATTTATTGATTTTTTGATAGATAAACGATGCCATGAGGTCGACGCTCCATAACTTGGCCGTCTGACTGTCTGTATTATAAGGAATGGAAGAAGCAGGCGGGGTCTCCGAGGAGGAGTTGAAAGGACAAAAAGCTTTAATCCAAACCAAATCAAAGGTCCATGAAGTCTGTGGGAAGCTAAACTGTGTCTCTGCAGGACTTCTTGAGAACTCGATTATCTGAGACGCCATCATCGGTGTTTTCAATATAACTGTATATCTAATCTATACAGTACACATGTAGTATGTGTATATACTGTGTATACTGTTTTCTTCAGTGTCACCGTAATGCAGTGATAGTTGTGTACACTGCTAACAGTAAAACATGTGACCCGACCTCATGGTGGCGCTGTAACACACACTTGTGATGTTCAGATAGTAAACTCTAGCTTGTCTGGAGTCCTCTGATGATCCACAGCCCTCAGATTTCATCCAGTCGTCACCAGGTTCGAATAATATGTCCCAGCCCAGGGAGAACCACTTCACCACTCACTATCCTGACCAGGAGGTTAAAGGCGCCGCCGGACTTGTGGCGCCATCAAACTGGCTTTGCTGGTGAAGAAGGCCAGCTCGGTGGTGGGGATGGAACTGGACAGAGTGGAGGCAGCGACTGAGAGCGGGATGAGAGGGAAGCTGAAAACCATTATGGAAAACCCCTCTCTGAGGCAGCAAGGCAACAACTGTGCCGTGAATGTAATTATCATGGGTAAAGGAAGGATGGAGATAGTGATAGTATGCCATGGCAGGATGTAAATAATAAGAGGAAAGGAAGGTGCAACAGTTCTGGAAGTTCAACCTGTGATGTGGAGGTGGGCGACATGTCCACAAAAGTGACGTCTACAATGATAAATGTGAGAAAGGAGGATGAACAAACTGAATGGAAAGTGATGATAACATTCAAAAAAGAAGGGGGGGATTTTCACCCACTAAAACTAACAAAAGCAATTGAGAAAGAAATGGGTAAGATCAAGTTTGCCAAATATTTGAGTAATTGGAGGCAGAGATCGGTTTCTCAGAGCAGAAACACTTAATGGGGAAAGGATCAGTCCTCATATCCCCGGGATAGCAAAGCTTAGAGGTGTTATTTATGATGTTCCTTTGGCAATGACAATGGAGGAAGTGAAAGGAGGGAAAGTGGTGAAAGCCACAAGACTGCAAACACAAAGGGGTGAAAACTGATAGCCTGTCAGTAGTCCTGGAGTTTGAAAAAGTTATGCCAAAGAGAGTAAGAATGGGATATCTGAGCTATGATGTAAGAGAGTTTATCCCAGCACCACTTAGATGTTTCAAGTGTGAAAGAATGGGACACACTGCTGGACAATGTAAAGGAAAACAAAGATGTGCGAGGTGTGGAGGTGAACATGAATATGGAAAATGTGGCCAGGATACAAAAGTGAAATGCTGTAATTGCGGCGGTGAGCATAGCGCTGCTTTTGGAGGATGCCCTGTTCAAAGGCAAGCTAGAGAGGTACAGAAATATAAAGTAACTAATCAGGTATCTTATGCTGATGCAGCAAAAAAAGTGAACTATTCAGATCCAGTGTTACACAAGTAGTAAATAGAGCCCAAGAGTCTGAGAACAGACGAGTAATTGAGGTTTCATCTCCAACACCAAGTCAGAGGCAAACAGAAACAAATCCATGGATAAAGGAGATTAATGAAGATACGAAGATAGATATGAAGATATATGAAGATAGTGCTGCAACAACCTGCATCCCTAAGAGCACAATGAGAAAAAGAAAATAGTTCCATGGTGGAACGATGAATGTAAAAATGCTATAAAAGACAGAAACCATGCCTTCAGAATTTTAAGAAAGCATTTGAGCCAAGACAACCTGGTTGCCTATCAAAGAAAGAGGGCTATGGCATGGAAAATAATTAAGTCATCCAAGAAGAATGCATGGAGGAAATTCTGCTCCTCCGTTGGTAGAGAAGTTAAATTGGGTGACATTTGGGCAACGATCAAAAAGATGATTGGGAAAAGAAAATCAGTTAAAATCCCAGTGCTGATAGATGGAGAACACCTGGCAATTACAAATAAGGAGAAAGCTGAGCTACTAGGTAAGAAGTTTGCAAGTGTACATAGTGGGAGTCATAAATAAATACATAAAAAACAGAAAAAGGATATCTTAAGAACAAACGGTGATGTAACTAAGAAAAAAGATAGTGATGAATCGGCACTGGACATGGACTTTTCATTACGAGAGTTAAAAATGGTCCTAGAGGGAAGTGGAGATACTATGATATGCTATGTTTAGACAATTACCAAAAGAAGTCTTGGAAATGATGCTAAAACTGTTCAATAAGATCTGGAGAGAAGGTGTAATGCCTGATAGTTGGAAAAGTGCTCTGATAGTACCGTTTGGTAAACCTGGTAAAGACACAACTAATGCAGGAAACTACAGACCTATAGCCTTTACATCCCAACTGGAAAATGGATGGAAAAGATAATTGTCTGTAGATTGTCATATTATTTAGAGCAAAGAGGGCCGCTAAACAAATACCAAAGTGGACTTCGTAAAGGAAGATCTACGGTAGACCCTTTAGTTAAAGTTAGCAATGAGTCAGAAAAGGCGGTTAGTATGAAAAAGGTCATGGCTGTAGTATATTTTGATATTGAGAAAGCTTATGAGTCAATGTGGAGAGAAGGACTACTGATAAAAATGCATGAAATGGGTATAAGCGGAAGGCTATACAGCTGGGTTTTAGACTTCCTGTCTACCCGACCTTTCCGTGTTAAAGTTGGAGATGCTGTGTCGGAGGATTTTGAAATTGAAAATGGTATTCCTCAGGGGAGCGCTATAAGCCCTGTTCTGTTTAACATCATGATAAAAGACATTTTTGTAAATGTTGATAGAGATATTGGGTCATCACTTTATGCAGATGATGGGGCTAAATGGAAAAGAGGGAAAAACATTAGACATGTGACTAATAGCACACAGAGTGCTATATTAAAAGTTGAAAGATGGTCATATTATATGTTCTTTACCAGAAAGAGAAGGATTAATAACACACAGCTTAAATATGGAAAGAGTTCAAGTATGTAGGATTGTGGTTTGATGAGAAATGTGTGTGGAGGAATCACGTTAAACAGGTTGAAAAAACGTAAAAAAGGTTCTGGTTCATGAGGTCAGTTTCTGGTTACTAATGGGGAGCAGATAAACAATCACTACTAAAAGGATCTGGAGAGGAACAACCTGCAACAAGGGTTCTGTGTGACTGAATATACACAACAACTGAAAGGTAAAAGATTTGGCTGGAATATTAATGCAGTAGCAGAAGAATACGGATTAAATAGCGTAGAATATGGACCAGCTACTGTATGGGGTCACGTTCCTCCGTGGATATTTCCTGTGCCCAATGTGGACTTGAATCTTCTAGAGAAGAAGAAAGAATGGAGTGAAAGTAATGTGGATAAAACTGGATATTTGGTTCAAGATTATGTGAAGAGGAATTATTATAATTATATGCTATTATTTACTGACGGATCAAAGGATCCAGGGGCTGAACATGTAGGATCAGGAGCACACATATCTGAGTTTGATGTAGTTAAATGTAAAAGAATTAATGATAAATGATCTGTAAATACAGCTGAAATGGTTGCTGTTATTTTAGGGTTACACTGGATAGAAGAGGTGAGGCCTGAGACTCCACTGCAGCCCTGTGTAGTTTGAATTCATAAAAGACAGTAAGAGATGATCTGTTGATTGAAATATGTACAATAATGCTGAGAATACAAAGAGCTGGAGTTGAAGTGCAGTTTGTTTGAGTCCCTGCTCATGTTGGAGTTGAGGGGAATGAGAAAGCGGACGAGATTGCAAAGACGGCGTTGAAATTAAAAGATAATAATAATGAAAGTTCCCTTTGGAAAAGGAGAGGCCAAATCATTCATTAGAAAAGCAGCGAGTGACGTAAGGCAGAAGAAGTGGGACACAGAAACTACAGCATACAGAAATCAACGAAGGTGAAGGGTTTCAAAGGGAAATGCAGAAGAGATGAAGTGTTTTTTTCAAGATGAAGGTTTGGACATACTGGGTTAAAATCAACTCTTTAATTAAAGGCAAAATGTCTGATAAATGTGAGGTTTGTAATGTTCCTGAAAATGTCGAGCATGTCATCATGAAGTGCAGTAAAGGAACATCTTACGTGACAAGATATATGAATTAGGACGGGGACGGGATTTAGAAGGGGTTTTAGGGATGAGTGAGGAAACAAGGGAGAGCTGCAAAGCCCTCTTTAATTTTCTCAAATCTACAGGATTAGATCATCACATATAGTCCTTTTGTTTGTTTGTTTTTGTTTTGTTGAGTTTTGTTTTCTATGTATTTATTCACCTTTTCTAACCTGAAGTACTAAAAGCTGTTGCTGTTACACACTCCGGTACAGTAGGGGGCGGTATGCACCTGAACAAGCTGGTTGCGACCCGCCATAAAACCCAGAGAAGAAGAAGCAGCGCATGCTCCGTGTCAGTTTAGCGCGTGAGAGAGAAGATGGCGGCAGCAGCAGCAGCGTCCAGCAGCTCCGGACTGAAAGGTTCTGCTAACAGAGACCCGGACCCGGACCCGGACCGGAGCAGCCGGCAGGTCAGCAGCGGGGTGAGTTCATGTGTCAGGATGTGGGAGCTGGAAACACGAGGCTGCTGCAAAGTGACCAGGTTCTGAAATGGTGGTCATTAAAATATATAAGAGATATAATCTTTCTTCTGAAAGAAATGAAGTCAGTTTGAGGCAGAAACTTTCTGGCTACTACAATACTGCATTACACGAGTTGTATTTCAGGACTGCAGAGGTCGCTAGAGACCTTTTTATTTTATATATAAGTGATCCAAATATAAACCAGGATGTTAGAGAGCAGCTGCAACAGGCTGAGCCTTTAATCACACGCGCCTGGTTATAAACACTACATAAACACTGATTTGGCCACAGTTGTGATTGTTCCATTAAAAGAAACGTTACAAAGACAAACCTTTGCTGTTACCACGGACACAAAGTGATGTGGAAAAGTCTTTGGTGTGAGAGACCCGGGTTCACTTAACCCCTCGTTGCTCCAGAGGCGCGCGACCTCTGACATGTACAGCAGCTGTAAGCTACATGAATAAATGTCCTTGTCTTTCTCGCCACGTTAAATCTGATTTCAGGTTCGTTAACGCCTTATACAGATTAACAGACGTCTGGTCACCCTGTCGGCGCCAGAAGGATTCAGGACCGAGTTTCAGGGAGATCTGGACCGAGTTCTCACTGTTGATGATCTCAGAGGAAAGAGATTTCAAGTTCAGGCTGGTTTTGGCTGCGAGTTCCTCAGTGTACTCGAGCAGGAGCGACGTCTGAAAATCAAAACCGCGATTAATTCAACACTTTACCTCGATTACGATTAATGAACCATTTATTTTGTTTTTAGGTTTGTCCTGAGCTGTAAAAATCGGTCATCTACATGTTAACAGACAACAAAACGTTGAGTTGCGAGTCGAAAGTCTCAGTAAATGTGCAGGGTACGCCGCAGTTTACCCGTTGATGAAAGGCTACCGTCGGAGACACGTGACCACACGTGGCAGCGTGTTTTTAAGGTAAAAGTACACTGGGACTGGGACGATTCGTCGACGTAATCGATTTCGTAAATGCGTCATCTCGCATTGCGTGCGTCGAAGCGTTAGACCCTGACCGTTTCATATTTTCTGTTTATTTAACGGCCACGTCTGAGCGAGAGAACAGCTGAATCTGATTACAGACGATCTGTGGCGGTCTGTGAATCGTTCCAGATGTTTTCTTTGCTCCACACTGATGCAGAAATACATTTTATAATCATACTGCGTTACATGATAATAACTCCGGGTCAGAAAGTTTCCAGTAAAGTAGCCTAATTAATGTCTGTTATTATTCTCACAACGCATCAGTGAAGAGGAGATCTGATTCATTTTAAGATCTGCTGCTGCTGTTGTCATGATTCTAACGTGCTTCATCAGGACGAGTTAATAAAATATAGATTTATTTTCAGACATGTTTTTGATATTTATTTTTGGATAAATTGGTTTGTTAATCCAGTAACTTTCCTTTCATTAGAACACAGAATTGGTCGTTAAACTAATCCACTTGAAATTTGAGGATTAAATAAAGGTGCAGTATATTAGTAAATAGGGATGGGGATCGAGACCCGGTTCCAAAAGGACCCAGTTCCAAAATTTCTCAAACCCGAAAATCAATAAGGTTCGAGCTTATCGAGACTCGCGGGTCCTATGATGTGACGTTGTGTTTTGAGCGTCATTTCGGTTTTATTTTGCAACGCAATGGATAAGAAAATCATCAGGCTGCAGTCTGCCTGCTCTGTCGGCTCCTACACACACACAGGTGTTGTGCCGAGTGTCCTGCCTGCCCAGAATTTCCTGCAGCTCGCGGGTGATGACGGTCATTTATGCTTAAAAAAGAGGTGGCTTCAAATCTCGGCGGGTCGCCTACAAAATTTGATTTTCAATTATGCATCCACCTCTTTAGGTCCTTCTCAGACACTTTGCTGTGCTCATTGATCAAACGGCGTTATCACCACATATATTTACTACGTATTTAAAGGTACTTCTACTAAGTGTATTAAAATATTAAAGACGCTAAATGTTCAGAAAATATATACTTAGAATCATTTAACACCATTGATGGACCCCACAAAGAACATTATAGCGTTTAAAAGCATTATTTGGAGGTGCATGCAATTCTCGGCAGGCAGGCAAAACTCGGCACAACACCGGCAGCAGAGCGAGAGGCGGCGCCGTCGCGGTGGAATACGGTGAGGGTTAAGTTAGCTCCAAACTACTTTAACGTTAGTTGATGACAGCTGCGCTCTTTCTGTACGTACGTGCAATAAAACCTTCGCAAGTAAAAAGACAGTAGTTTATCAATCCACCAGTCTGTAGGGTAACGTTAAACATGTATAAATGGTTAATTAAATCATCTCTGTCCTCAGTAGCTCATCCTGTATGTTTTACACAAGCACAGCTAACGCTAGCTCGGCATTAGCCAGATGTTAAAAACAAGCTGAATAGAAAGCTGTCTGTCTGGAGCACAGACGGGTCTGTAGTCTTAAAAACTGCTTCTACCTGGTAACGTTACCTGCAGCCAGCGAGAGAGGAGGAGGGACTGATGTTGTTCTTTCTAAACGTCACTCACTACTTATTGATTTACTTTGCTGTTGTCTAGAAACAACATTTAGCTGTATTTAAAATATTAAATTAAAAACAACCAGGCAGTTAATATGTACACTTTTATATGTTGATTTATCGCAAGTGATGTCATCTCAATTTATAACGTTCTCACACATTGAATATTTTCCTCATAGTGTGCAGGCCAACCTCAGGCCCGTTAGGTCTGGTCTTAACAAATAACATCACTAAATAATAGTAAAGAATCGGATCGTTAAGCAGTCTCTATCAATAAAAATTTACGATCCTCATCCCTCATTTTTAAGCACTATTTAATTTAAATGTTACCGTTTCAATCTTACAAGCTGATGTATCCGCTGTACAAAGAGATGGACGGGATCAGACATGAGCATCAGATTTTTAATGGACAGAATGCAACTCTAAAGGCTGCAAGTAGCTGTGGTGAAGAGACACATGATTAAAGTCATTTAATACCAAACTGGGTAAAGCCATCAAGTTCTTCAAAGAACTCCAGCACAGAGAAAGAAACACAAACATGAAATCACAACAGTTGGGAAGGTCATTAAAACATTTCCGAATCAGCTGCAGCACTCACGTCTGTGTCCGGCTGAAGCAAGGGTTACGCTTTCTGCGTCCGAGAGGGTCCGTGTGACGGAAAAATCGTCCTCAGAGGGCGTACACGTAGGCTCTGCGTCGACATCCACGTGCCTCCCTGTTTTTGTGACAGCGCGGACTAGTAGTATCTGTAAACAGTACGTTTATTAAAGTCAGGTGTTGATGATCCTGAGAATGTGGGATGGAGCATTTGTTTTCCCAAATCTTCAATATTTTGATATCAAATGTCTACAAGATGACTTAAGATCCTCCCCATCAACTGCTGGAACTTGAGTATTCCCTTGAAATCATTGCAGACGTCCCCGATTGACTGAACTCTGGAGTCCACTGCAGTATAATACACAGAATTCCTAAATGTTACATCAGGAGTCTCCTTTGAATCTGACCTTTCTTCACTCTTTCTCTGCCTGCTGTGGGGGAACTCGGGTGGGATACCCACTGCATCCGCTATATTTTGAGCTTCAGCAAGCATTGAATCCCGTCAAGAGTTTGTTTGATGCTTCCTGATCCAAAGATAGGCTGCCACTCTGCAGAAGCAAATTCCTGTCTTTGATATGTTCTAGTATTTTTAGCCACACAGTGCACATGAAATGAAATGTTCTGTCAGTCCTCGTGCATCTGACAATAGATAATTTACAGGACGATATTCTGCAATCGATTGCTTTAATCGCACCGGAGCAGCGGTGAGCAATAGGTCTTACCACGTCGATTTGCACACTCCATCGTGTGTCACTCAGTCGGTGGAGTGAACATCCTGTCTTGTCCTTTAACACAATGTGGGGGGTTCATTATGACACAAGCTACGTCCATTTTTTTTCTCACTTTCAAAAAATAGTGGCGCTATTTTGGTACACAATGAAATGTGGTAACTGTTGCTTATATTTAGGATGAACAGAATTATTGCTGGACTGCATGGGCCCCTCCCGTAGCGGCTGGGCCCCAGAAAACCCTTTAATCCCCCCCGTGCCTTGAGCCAGAACTATGGAGAGGCTGCTTTATCAGGCAGCAAAAAGCTCACAATCGGGTTCATGCCAAGTAGGTTTTAACTTACAAGATATTTGCCTTGGTATTTATGTGCATAAATAAGAATTATATAAAATGAAAGCAAATTAAAAGCAAGTTTTGTAGCAACAACTGTACACTAACAATGTAATTGTAAAATAATGCCTACTGAAATGGCATTTTTAAGAACGATACTGATTTTTGATATTTGAGGATTTTAAAATCTGATATGCCTGATGTTCTTTTTATATATTTTTCTTTATTTACAGAAACACTTAACATAAACAAAGATTATCCCTTACATGTGTTGTTATGAGACTAAGAAAACAAAACAGCATGCTGAACAAAGTACGACAAAATATTAAAGTTTTGATAAGATGTTTAAAACTAAAGAGAGAGACATTATACAGAATATATGTACATAAATACGTCTTTTGAACCCTCAGATGTGCTGATCAAACACTTTTAAGGACGTGACGAAGATAAGTAAAGGAGGCAGGGTATTTTACAGTTTCAAAATAAACTTTATTATCCAAACCAAGCCTGATGTCAGTGCACTGAACAGTAAACTTTACTTACCATAAACTAAAACTAAATAAAAACGATACAAATATAACTTTAATTAAGAAAATAAACACGGTAACTGTTTAAGGCAAACCATCTACTGCCAGTAGGGCCAGGTTAATGCAAGAAGCACAGCTTTTACAAACATGAAAAATACGCTGCGAAGAATAATTTTCTTTGCAGGATGTAGAACTGTGTTGTGTGGGCCGGGCCTGTATGTGAAGAGTTAAATGAACATAATGCACGTTGTTTTTCAGTCCTACAGTCTTTAATACTGCCAATCCATCAGTGGCAGGATGTACTGCAGAAAGCACAGCTTTTCTGAGTGGGCTCCGCTTTTCGTTAATGTGCCCGATCTGCCCGCTGTATTCCCCCGTGTGGGGCCGAGACATGGCCTTCACATTCAACACCACTCGGACTCTATTCCCGTTGATGAAAAGAGCAGTGAAGCTCGTGAGGGCCTCAGTAGATCCAGACCAACGGTCAGTGCTGTTTCCTGCATTTTCCACAGAGAGAAGTCGCTTTATTCGTGTTACAACTTGTGAGTTAATTTGGTCCGTCAGCTGAGTGTGGGAATACTTCTCACTTTTTAAAGGTTACCTGGGCTCTGCCTGAGCCACTTATCTTTTAAAACCATGTGGGTCTTGCTTGAGTGTGGGCTGTGATGGAGCTGTGCTGCTTTATTATCCGCCTCATGATAGGCTTCTTTATGTTTTACTTTGCTTGTATTTTTCAGTCTGAGGCTGCTTGATCCTGCTCAGATATTAAAGATAGCTGTACCAGATGTGTCCTTGGTGAATTAGTCCCACACCTTTTTACTAGTTCCACCATCAGCCAGACATTAACAGAATGAATAAGCAGTGCATGTTCTATTCTATATATTATTAATAATAAAATGGCTTAATCTTAAATTTTATTTAGGGACTGTCTATCAAAAATAACTAAATGTAATGACTGTCACTGGCAACACATTTTATTTCGATGAATCGAAAATTTGTCTCCATGAAATTTCATTGTTGCCGCGTCGTTACAGGGAGGCTGTTTAAGGGAGAGAGCGCGCGACCTTATTGAAGGAGACCTATCATGCTTTTCCACATTTTATGACTTGCAGTGTTTATAATGTTGGATGTTCATGTTGAAAATGAGGTTAAAGCATTTATAAGAAAGCACGCTGTGTCCTCACTAAATACACTTTTGAGGTGAGAAACCAACTGTGTAGAACTTGAATATTGGCAGTTTTAGGAAAGTTGATGGCGAATCGTAAATGTGCTCAAATGTTTTCGGGGTCGAGAAGCTTCCACGAGGTTAGTCAAGCTCACAGAGCGCCCTGGTCCCAGTTACTCTAGTTTCAATGTTATTCTGTCTTTACAATCTGAAACATGTAGCCTACAGAACATTCTCCACTTATAAAACACATGAACTACAGAAGTATTATAAAAGGAGACTGTTGCTTTGTTATTTTAAATAGACATGTCATTGTTAGTGTTCAGTTGTGAATATAGTACTTGCTTTTAATTATCTTTTATATAGTTACAAAGCAAAAATCTTTGTTAAAATGTTCTTTTAAAGTTAAAACCTGCTTGGCAATAAATCTATTGTTTTGGTTGGATCAGTAATTCACTTGAAAGATATTTAATTAGTTAAATGGTTTAATTACTGTTAGGTTTAGGGCGTGACAAAAATAATCGTGACTAGTCAAATAAATGAAAATGATCATAAGTTGCAGCCCTATTTGACTGGTTACCACAGAGGCTGCTGCTGGAAAGCTGAGTTTCATGTGGTGTTCATCTGCGCGTGCACCACATGAAACTCCGAAATGCAGATTCTTACTGTCCAGTGTGCTAAAAACAAAGTCACAAACACAAAACAAAAATCAGACACGCTGGCCAGCCGAAAGAAAGAATGGCATTTGTTTAATGCAGCATTCATATGTTGATTACATTAAACCAAAGTTACTGTGACTCTTGTGATTATTATTATTATTATTTTTTTTTTAATGCATCCATAAAGGAAACCTGAAATATAAGCCAGTAGCTGGAGCATTTAAGTAGACGTGCTGTACCAGCATGGACGGTTATAGTGTTACATAATGTGAGATATAAGCCTCCATATGAAGTCTGACTTGTAGGAAAGTGTCCATCCACTTTGACTTTTTAAGCACCGAGCATCTCTCTGACTGAACACGGTGTTCCCACTGCATGCTCCAGGACAAAGAAGCTGAACAGCCTTCAATGTCCCGGTGTTTGACAACACGGGTCCCATTTCCTCCAGACTGGACATTTACCAGTCCAAGCTGGGCCAGCATGACTCTATCCCTCTGCTCTGGAGCGATCACCCGCCTTGGTGCCTGGTCTTTTTTGATTAAGTAGCCTACATAAACAAGCATATTGAGCGGTAGTAGGCTACCATATCAACATAAGTATAGGCGTCTATCTAAAAACTGAACTGTAGACACCAACAGTCTGCCAGACGCGCTGATTGTCCAATAATTCCAGGATCCCGATTGCTGCGTTTTGATGGTTTATTTAGAGGTAAGGTTAGACTGTACAGGTGATCAGTTCCATACAGCGAAGATATCCAGAAAATACTAGAAACACTGAACCGCAGTCAGCAAAAATTAGGCTTTTCCCCATCACCCCCTCTCTTCTCCTCTCTCTAACGTGAACAGGTGATATCCTGATTTACTATCAGCACCCACACCATGTGATTAAAGCTTGTGAGCAACCAAAAGAAGGGAGCGTTCAAGAACCCATACCTGGCTCCTACAATAGGAAATGCTCGGTTCAAAGTAAAATTCAATAAGCTGATCCATACTGGCACTGAGAGCACCTGAGTCTACACAGCCAGGGCTCGGAAGTAACGGAAGAAGAAAGGTATTGCCAGGGGACGCAAAACGTATTGCAAGCACACCCAAAGTAGCCCTCAAAAACAAGTGCATCATGGGAAATCCCCCGGCAGTCTAGGCCTATAGCAGCATAACTAAGGGATGGTTCAGGACTACCTGAGCCAGCCCTAACTATAAGCTTTATCAAAGAGGAAAGTCTTAAGCCTACTCTTAAATGTGGAGATGGTGTCTGCCTCCTGAACCCAAACTGGAACCTGGTTCCACAGGAGAGGAGCTTGATAGCTGAACGCTCTGGCTCCTAGTCTACTTTTGGAGACTCTAGGAACCACAAGTAACCCTGCATTCTGGGAGCGCAGTGCTCTGGTGGGGTAGTAAGGTACTATGAGCTCTTTAAGATAAGTTACGTAAACATAACAAGGAAGGAAGGAATTTACAAATAGGTAGTCTAAAATATAAAAACTACTATAATAAGAAGGAGAAAATGGCTTAACTGAGAATTCAAGACTAGCTGCTGAAATTAAGAACAAAGAAAACACTATCCACCTCCCTCCCACCACAGAGGGAGTAAACACAAGAACAAAGCTCTACAACTTAGGGCTGCAGCTATTTTGATAGTCCGTTAATCTCTTTTGCAAAATTACACAATGCCTCTCATTTAGCTGCCAGCCGTTTGAGGTTGTTTTTTAGGTGTGTGTGTGTGTGTGTGTGTGTGTTAACAAGACAATAAAAATGAATACTGCTTATAATAAATATTCCACTGACTCAGTCCCGTCATGGACCAACAAGGCAAAAAGATATAACTGTGTGTCAGGGGTGGAAACATCTTTTTGGCCTGGCGGCGGTTGCCTTGCTGTGACAGAGGACGCATTTGGCCTTTCATCACTGAATAACCATGTTTGGGTCTTGTCTCCACGCCGTATGAAGTAAAGAGATTTGATTAATCGCATCGAGTTTTTAATTCTTCAGCGAATTAGCAACTCAATACTCAAGAAGAATTTCTGGTACAAAATATTCCAGGAATTTAAGAAACTGGTTGGTCACGTCGAAAGGCTTACTTTTCTAAATATCATTTATGGTTCTAGACGGCTCGCACGACATCTCACTTGCGGTCTTTCTCTCTGTATGTCTGTCTGTTTCTGTAGAAATGGAGAGGAGGAGTGGGACTCGGACATCACCGCTGTCAGCACTGTGACAAATCCTTCCCAACGGCTGGATCTCTAAAGACTCATCAGAGACTTCACACTGGAGAGAAACCGTACAGCTGTGATCAGTGTGGGAAAACTTTCACGACCGCAACTAGCCTAGAAATCCACAGATGTATTCACACTGGAGAGAAACCGTACAGCTGTGACCAGTGTGGGAAAAGTTTCATTCAATCGGGTAACCTAGGAAGGCACAAACGTGTTCACACTGGAGAGAAACTTTACTGCTGTGATCAGTGTGGGAAAGCGTTCAATAGATCAGATTCCCTAAAGACGCATCAACACGTGCACACTGGAGAGAAACCATACAGCTGTGACCAGTGTGGGAAAGGTTTCGCTGAGCCACGTAGCCTAACCATACACCGACGTATTCACACTGGAAAGAAACCGTACAGTTGTGACAAGTGTGGAAAAACCTTCACGTCATCAGGAGACCTGAGAAGGCACCAACGTGTTCACACTGGAGAGAAACCCTACAGGTGTTACCAGTGTGGGAAAACTTTCATTCAATCATTTAACCTAGGAAGGCACCAACGTGTTCACATCGGAGAGAAACCGTACAGGTGTAACCTGTGTAGGAAAGCGTTTACCACGTCAGGTGCCTTGAGAAATCACAGACGTGTTCACACTGGAGACAAACCGAACTTGTGTGAATAGTGGAAAAACCTGGACTTGAAAATACTAGAAGATGTTTCGTCCCTCATCCAAGAGACTTCTCCAGTTCTGACTGACTGGTAGGGAAACTCATCAATATTAAACCGAGGATGTCATTTCATCACTTCCCAGGAAACTGAACAAGCATTTGGCTTCAGGTGAAGGCCACTGTCGTTACAACAGCCAGGAGCCCTAATGAACCAGCAGTATCGATGATCCTGGCAAAAGACCCCACAGAGGTTAAATGGCTGAGTTTCCTTCCAGGAGGGACGAAACGTCTTCTAGTATCTTCAACCAGTCCAGTTGGCCTTTAACCTTCTTTGGATAACTATGACCTGGCTGACAGAGAACCTTCACAAACTGAGGGATAGACAACAGTAACTTTATATTCTGAGCAGCATGCATGTTGTTGTGGTAATGACGAGGTCACATCACCCGCCCTCACCCTTCTGCTGGAGGGAGGGTCCTGGAAGAAGTGGGTCAGAATCTACTGATTCAGTCTGTTTCAATGATTTTTACTTTTTTGAACAAATGATTAGTGTGACTGTCAAAGAAGGAGTGTTTTAATCTGCCAGGTGTTTTCTCAATTAATCACTTGGTAAATAAAAGGCTGTGACTTGAAGACTCTGGCGGGAGGTTCTGACAGTCCAGTGTGATGGAAATTGGATTTTTTGCTTTTCTATGCTCTACTGTTATGTTTCACTAGTGGTCCTTAAAGCGGCCAAATGTACGTTTTTGATTTTAATAAATCAAATTGTTAGTGGGCTCAAAACACACGCCTGTTTTGTCTATTGCCTGCATCCGCCGCTATCCTGCTTTTAATATGAGGTCTCCGGGTCGGATTCAGCCCCGAGCCTCTCCGACTACAGCGACAACCGGGCAGCTAACGACACACAGTCCACTAACACCATAAAACAACCGGCTCACAGCAAAACACAGGCTCCACGTAAGGATATAAAACAACAATAAAGGTTTTTGTGCTGAAGCCCGTCAGACCAGGTTCAGATGATGTTGAGTAAGAACACAGTAAGCATTAGTAAAGGTTAGCTTTCCACATTAATTCACCAACTAACGCCACCCATGTTACTATCCTGTGTACCACTGTTGATTTAGCCTGAAGGGATGTAACAGCAAAAAGCAAATGTGGAGTGATTTGTTTCCTGATGTTAGCCTGTAGCGATGCAGCCAGCTAATGCTACATTAGCTCGGACCTGCCGCTGTTTGCTTCGAAATGTTCAGTTTATGTTCATTGTGGTTTTACCATCAGGTACGCAGCTTCTCCAGCTCTCAGTCGCTGTAACTAATGTGACCCACGTAATATAAAACACTGCAACAAACTGGCCACAACAACCCAGAGGAAGGAAGAGCCATCCACTATCACTAGTTACAGTAAAGTTACTAACTGCGGTCTGACTGCTTATAAAGTGTGACACAGTCTCGTTATAATATTCAGTCCAGCTCACTACCCGTTTCATTATCATCCAGTACATGTAGCTGTGCTGATGTTGCTCAGCCTCTGGAGAATGATACACAGATAGTAAAGATAGTTAGTGAAAGCAGCAGGCGAGCTAACGATGAAGCACGTCGGCTAAATGCAGTAAATGTACCGTGATCATGTAACGAGCTAAAACTAAAATAGACTATGCCTTATACAGTCCTGCGGCATAAATAAATACTGGTGGTATAAAAGTGTTGTAGAAGTCAGATATAGCAAACTGTATTATACAATAATTGCACATGAATTGGTAAAATTGCACAAATGAAAATTATGCACAGATGTAATAATGGCACATGGGATATATTGCACAGAGTCAACGGTGTTCATTGTACAGTCTGACGGCTGCTGGAAGGAAAGCTCCAGCAGACCACAGCGTAGAGGATGGCTGACGCCACCAGAGTCATAAAAAGTCTTTAGGAGGGGCCCTGTCACTCCAAAGGACCTCAGTCTCCTCAGGAAGGACAGCCTGCTCTGACCCCTCTTGGACAGAGCATCTGTGTTGTGAGTCCAGGCCAGTTTGTTGTTCAGGTGAACACCCAGGTACATAAGTGGCCACTCTCTCAATGACCATTTCCTGGATGTTCACCGGAGGGGGGAGGGCAGACCGCCGTCTCCTTGGTCTTCCCCGCGTTGATCAGGAGGTGATTTCGCTGACACCGGTCCACAACGTTCTGTGTCAGTCCTCTGTACTCTGCGTGTACAGTGCATTGTCCCGGTGGTGTGGCTGATTGATCAAACCTGTTGAAGTGATGGTTCAGATCATTCAGCCACTTAAGGTCCCCCTCGGCCTGTGTGGGGGGTGCTTTAAAATCTGAGATGGTCTTGCGTAACAGCTCCGGGGGAATCACATGTCTGTCTCTGGGGATCTCCACCGCTCGGCTGAGCCCGAGTATAAACAATGCGTGTCCCCAACTTCGTCAACCATAGTTCCATAAATAGGTAAAATAAAAAAGTGCAATAATCCCAAAGGGTGGTGTAAGTTCAGGTGGTAGTGTGAGACGGGAACGTTGAAGTAACAGAGCCTGAACATGTCTGAGTGAAAAGCCACGGCCTTCATGCTGGTGTTTCTGTGTTTATTGCAGGATCTCTGTATGAAAGCAGTTGTGTTTTGGATTCTGCTCGCTCATGAGTTCAAGCGAACACGTGTACGAGCTCACGCCAGGTAGCAATTTTAGAACTGCACCGCTAGTGGCCACTGAAAACTCCATAATGCCCCTTTAATGGACCCTAGCAGCTATTTCCAGGAAAAACACCTAAAATCACACATCCAAAATAAATCAGTAATAACTGCTCAACCATCAGGCCCAGATACATAATTCTGGTCTCATTTGAAAGGTCAGAAGCTAAGGAATATAAATCCATTGTACATTAACACATTTATTTTACCATTAAAGACTAAGTGGAGATGAAATACAGAAAAAAATTTATTTTCATCCTTGCCTGATAGAAAAAAACTTTATTTTAATGCAATAAACCATCAAAACCATCATAAGGTATATTATAATGCACCTGAATATCTTCTAATACACAGGAATGAAAACTGATGAAAACTATTATCAGCCGATATGAGCTAACTGAATGTCATCGGCATCGGCCTGACTTAAAAAAGAAACCTAGAGTCAGATCCTTCACTCAGGTCATGGGTGTTGCATAGTTTGCCCACCAGAGGGCGACCAGCTGCAGCTATTAACTACACTGCCTCTCCACAAAAACCACAGAAGAAAACTATCAGCTTACTGCAGCATGTAGAAACAGGCAGAGCGCTGTGTGAGCGGCGAGTCTGCCTTTTGTCAACTTAACATGACTTATAATAAAAATCACTTCTACTCTCCTGACTTGCTAACCCTCCCGTTTTTCACTGCACTCTCCCGGCTTCCTACCAGCTCACAGCAGGTTAATGTTACGGTAGCTAGTTAAATGAAATCTCAAAGCTGCAGGTCCTCGTTGTAGAGAGTCATGTTGTATTAGATGCATTCAACAGCAGCTCACTGGATCCTAGACAGCATGATTTAGACAGATGGTGGTTAAATGCTTTCTGTCATCCTACCCGGGCTCTCTGCATGCTTCTTTCGGAGACGTGGGTTCAACCCGGTGAGTGCTTCCCCTTCTCAGAGCTTCTTCCTCCAGCATGCTCTTTCTTTAGCTCTCCTCGAACCACAGGAAAAGGTGGAGGGCTAGCGACAGTTTTTAAAACCAGTCTTAACTATAGAAAAACCCCATGTGAACAATACAAGAGCTCTGAGCTGCAACTCTTTGAACTTAACCTCAACGGTGTCATGCACGCTCATTTACCGCCCTCCTAAATTTAACAAGGATTTTATTAAGGACTTTTCGGCGTTCGTGGCGGGCATTGCTCTTAATTACGATCCTTTTTGAATTGTTGGTGATTTTAATATTCGCGTTTGTTGTGTTTCTAAGCCTTTGGTCAAGGACTTCTTAAACATTTTAGATTCTTTTAACCTTACTCAGTCTGTGAACTGCCCAACCCATAACAAGGGACATTTTTTGGACCTGGTCTTGTCCCATGGCCTAAATCTGTCCATAAAGGACATTTCTGATGCAGGTATTTCTGACCACATGCCTGTCCTGTTTTCTGTTTCTTTGCCGTGCCCTCAAAGCAAAGCGTGCGTCCCCATGCGTCAGCGGCGTGCAATTAACCCACCTACGGCTTCCCTTTTTGCTGCAGCGTTCGACACCTCTCCTTTAATGTCCCTGGGTGCCTCCTTTTCAAATTTGGACATTGATGAGCTGGTTACTTTATTTGACTCCACGTGCACAGAAATCCTTGACTCAATAACACCGTTTATGCACAGGAGCTCTAACTCAAATGGAAAGCCATGGTATATGTCAAACCTTGTGCAAAACAACTGTCATAAAGCTCACGTCCTTTGTAATGTTTTAACCCTTTGTGTTGAGTCAGATCCCAGTATTATACCTTTTTACGTTCAGCTGTTTGTGAAGATTTTATGCCAATACCTTTCTCTGACTTGTCAAAGACGGTCCAAAGTTTAAGACCCTCAGTCTGCTCATTAGACACCCAACTTCAACTGCACCTTAATTCCAACAACTTCTTTCAAGTCTGGTTTTAAATCTTAAAACAGTACAGAAACTGCTCTTTTAAAAGTTTTTAATGATCTTTTAATTTCTGATTCTGGTAGCTCTGCTGTGCTAGTGCTTTTAGATTTGACTGCAGCGTTCCATACGGTTGACCACAAGATTTTATTGTCCAGACTCGAGTCCTGTGCAGGCATTTAAGGCACAGCTCTGAAGTGATTTCAGTCATATCTGACAGATGTCTTTTTCTGTAAACCTCGGGTTTCTACTCAAACAAAGCCCCGATTGAGAGCGGGGTCCCTCAATTTTAGGCCCAGTCTTGTTCTCGCTGCCCCTGGGATCAATCTTCCAAAAATACATTTCCTCTCACTGCTTCACAGATGACGTCCAAATTTACCTACCTTTGAATACCAAA